CTGGCCTAGGCCCAGTGACTGCTTTAACGCTTAGAGAAAAAAAAGTCTCCAAATATATAAACTTCTCCAATTTTGAAAGGAATCGGAGGTAAAAACATGCTGAAACGATGATTTAAATTATCTTAATTTAGGCAAAACTGCTCTAAATCAAGCCTGAATTGTCAAATAAAGCATGATTGCAAAAAAAAAAAATAAATAAAACTTCCAATACCATCTCCGTCCTTTACGATGCAAATCTGGAGGGAATGCAGAGAGGCGGTGAATAATGTGGAAAAAAGAGATTTTTGTGGCTGTCCTTTTGTAGAGAACCTCAAGAGGCGTGTCCTCAAATGTCAAATACCGCTCCGGAATCCCAGCCAGAGCAGGGGAGACGTGGTAGGGAGGAGGCACTTTGAAACTGTGATCCGAACAACTTCCTAAGAGCTGTCGCAGGAACAGGCTGGGAAATTCACACCCTGGGCACTTTGGGATGGAGACGGAGTCTTAATGTGTGAAGAAGGATGGCTTAGGTTGCTCCTAGGAAATCTCCAGCTCACGGGTTTCATGATGTTGCAAAACTAACTCTGAAAGTCTGACTGCACAAGGACGAGCCTCTGACTTCCTAGAACCTACTTCAGGCCTTTGGATATGAGTTTGTTGGCTCAACATATTTCTGGTGTGCATGAGAAGTGTATGTCAACAGAAAATGAGTGTTTAAAACTCCCTCAGCATTTACCCATTAGTGCTTTCCCCGCGCTTCAATTAGAATAGCATAAGCAGTTTTTGACGTGTTCGTGTGTGAGTGCGTTTACCCGAACAGCCGGGGACCAGAGCGCGTCTCCACTGTCAGCGTGAGAATCCACGCCATCCCTGTCCTCGGCAAGTCCTCTGTGACTAGAACGTCACACGCTGGAACTAGCACTGCTTTGGGGCTGGCGTTGTGGCACAGGAAGCCAAGCGGCCACTTGTGACACTGCATTCCCGAATCTGAGCAAAGCTTCAACTCACATCTTCCCTGCTTGCAACCCAGGTCCCTGTTAATGTGCCTGGGAAAGCAGCAGAGAGCAGCCCGGGTGCCCGGGGCTCTGCACACATGTGGGAGACCTAGAGGAAGTTCCTGGCTCCCGGCTTCAGTCTGGTCCAGCCCAGTGAACCAGCAAGTGGAAGACTTCTCTCTCTCTCTCCCTCTCTAACTCTGCCTTTCAAATAAATAAATCTTTAAAAAAATCACTACTTCCATCCCTTACACATAATATCTATTTACTCTTATGTCTTTTTTTCTTGTGTCTGCCCTGGTAGTTTTTGACTTTTTAGAATACTTGTTGCATCATGAGAAATCTTGCCATAGTCTATTGTACCACCGTAACTTGCGTCTTGGATCCCTTTTCCCAGTATAATGAGACTCATCCACCTATCCCCTATCCATGGATTCATACATCCATCAGTTCATTTTTTCAGCATTTTATTGAACATGTACTATGTACAGGATGCCATTCTAGGTGCTAAAAATATAACCTAAGCAAGAAGTAGATCCACATGTCACCAAGGTGTGGCGTGTAGACAGTGCAGACAGGTGGAGACAGCACTAACCTGAGGGCTCTCCTGAGGTGTCATGGGACCCTGAACTGTGAGAGCAGGGCCCAGGGAGGGGGTAGGAAGCAGCTGTCCAGCATTTGGAAGGACAAATGGGCTCAGGAACTCCTGGCCGCTTTGTCATCTCTGTTCTCCTCGGTGCCCGGTCTGAGTCGTGCCCCAAGTGTACACTGGTGGACGTCAAGGGATCTGAAAACGGTTTAGCAACGGCAGCTTGCACTTTCAAGTTCTCCAGCCCTCGCACCTGGGCACCAAAAGGAGAAGAGGAAGGATGCGAATCGGGCGAGGTTTCTGGTCGCATCGGTGGGAAACGCTGGGGATTCTTGGCGCCCCAGAGGAGGAGCTTTTCTGGGCTGCCTGTTTCTCACACGGGCAGGATCCTGGACGGGCCAGGGCGAAGTCTGGGGAGGAGGGAAGCACTGTGGGTTGTCCTGCCTTTTGCCGCCTGCACCTCCAGGAGGAAATGCAGCCGCTGGCCCCGCGCTGAGGGCTTTTACGGGCAAAGCTCCCCACCCTCCGTATTCACTCATTTCGTGTGTCGGGGCCACTTTCTTTCCTTTTTTCAGTTTCAATGCTTTGGGTAAGACATGGCATTCTAACCAGTTGTCTTTTAAAAAGCATACAACGCTTAGTCCTTTCTTCAAGGAATTGGAACCCCCACGGGTCTCAATTCAGAGCTTTGCTGCCCGGGAGAATGTCTGAAATAAGGGGTCGTTGTGTCCTGGTGGAGCAAGGACACATCTTAGAAGAAAAGCCGTGGCCGTTTAAGCCAACTTCCCTCTACTCAGCCAAGAAGAAGAAGTGGAGTACCTGGTGACCTCTGTACAGACACAGAGCGTCTGTGTTTTACTTGCAGGTAGAAGCAGCATTGGGTCATTAAGGGCAAACTATCAGAGTGTGTGTGTGTGAGTGAATGTGTTAGTGTGTGTGTCTGTGTGTGAGTGTATGTGTGCATGTGCATGAGTGCAAGTGAATGTGTGTGTGAGAGCATGTGTGTGAATGTGTTAGTGTGTATGTGAGTCTGTGTGTGTGAGTGAATGTGTGCGTGTGTGTGTCTGTGTGTGAGTGTATGTGTGCGTGTGTGAGTGCGAGTGAATGTGTGTGAGTGTGAGAGCATGTGTGTGAGTGAATATGTTAGTGTGTATGTGAGTCTGTGTGTGAGTGAATGTGTGCATGTGTGTGTCTCTGTGTGTGTATGTGTGTGTGTGCATGTGTGTGAGTCTGTGTGAGTGTATGTGTGCGTGTGTGAGTGAATGTGTGTGTGCATGTGTGTGTGAGTGAATGTGTTAGTGTGTGTATGTGTGCGTGTGTGTGTGTGTGTGTGCATGTGTGTGAGTGTGAGTGAATGTGTTAGTGTGTGTGTGTGCATGTGTGTGAGTGTGAGTGAATGTGTGAGTGTGTGCGTGCGTGCGCTCCGTTTAGGTTCTTTCCGAGAGGAGGGCGCTCTTCACTGCTCTTCCTCTGTGTGTGCCTTTCTCTGGGTGTGCCGGAGAGAAGGAACCAACCACTCTGCCACTAAGTGCAGCACCATGTGCTGACTTCTGGCGTCTGCAGAGCTGGGCAGAGCTGAGCAGCCATCAGCAGCGGACGGGGCCATGGGGACGAGGCTTTGAAGAAGCTCACAAAGCCCAGAGCTGGAAGAAATTTAAGTCAAATGCAGGAAATTCATCACAATTTAAAAACTTATAGTCTGGAGGATGGCACTGTGGCATAGCAGGTAAAGCCCTGGCCTGCAGTGCCAGCATCCCATATGGGTGCCGGTTTGGGTCCTGGCTGCTCCACTTCTGATCCAGCTCTCTGCTATGGCCTGGGAAAGCAGTGGAAGATGGCCCAAGTCCTTGGGCTCCTGCACCCGCGTGGGAGACCCAGAGGAAGCTCCTGGCTCCTGGCTTCGGATTGGCGCAGCTCCGGCCATTGCAGCCAATTGGGGAGTGAACCAGCGGATTGAAGACCTCTCTTTCTCTTCCTCTCTCTCTCTCTCTCTCTCTCCTTCTCTCTGTGTGTAGCTCTTTCAAATAAATAAATCAATCTTAAAAAAAAAAAAAACCTTATAGCCTGAAGATTTTTAAGTAACAGAGAAACAACCCTCTTTATAGTATAGCTTGGTCCCACAATTCTTCTAGAATCATCTTTCAACAAAACCCCTAACATTGCTTTGCTACTATACCTTGCTTTAGAGGCGCTGTGGTGATACACACCCCACCCCCCTACACAGATTTAATAGTCTGAGACTTCACAACGGTGGTCGTGTATGTCTGAGCCTTCGGAATTTTTTGGAAAAGCAGAAACAACTGAGGAGTGGACCAGGAGATGGAAGCTCTCTGCTTCTCCCTCTTTGTAAGTCTTTCAAAGTAAACCAATACATCTTAAAAAAAAAAACAAAAACAAAAACAAACAAACAAAAAAACAACTTGTACATGCAAACGTAACTGGTTTTGTGCCTGTTACAACTGAGCTTGAAGCTAATGGTCACCAAAGCCACAAATGCTTCGTCCTCACCCTCAACCACAGCGGAACTTCAGGGTTTGCAACTCCTCCTTTTAAAAAAGACTTGTTTGAAAATCAGAGTTAGAGAGAGGGGTCCTCCACCTGCGGGGTCGCTCCCGGATGGCCGCAGTGGCCAGGGCTGGGCCAGGAGCTTCTTCCAGGTCCCCCGTGGGCGGCAGGGGCCCAAACACTGCGGCCAGAGAAAACCAGGGCGCCGAATTCCACAGAACTTCTAGGACTCTGCAGCCTTCGTCACGGACGGGAGTGAAATGGACACTGGAGATTCCACGACTGCTTACAGCCCTCGTCTGACCGCTGAGGAGCGGCGTGTTTTTCCTCTTCGTGCTATTTTTTGAGCTCTTTACCTGGTGTAGGGTTAACCGGGAGTATAAAGCATTCCGAAGAGATCGCTGTACAAACTCGGAGCGGGACCCGCAGAGGGAGTGGCGTGGGAGGCGCCACTACGTTACTCCTCTGCAGACGCAACGCGTGAGGTGTGTACACCTGAAATAAAATGAACATTTCCTCCACTCCTTTCCGCCGCAGCCCAGGTCTCTGCGGCCCGCGGGTCCCCGCACGGGGCTGGTCCGCTCCGAGCGTGCAGCGCGCGGGTCTCCTCGCCGAGCCCCGCACCGCGGGCGCCGGGCTACACCTGCCGCCGGGCAGCCGCGCTCTCCGCCCCCGGCCCCGCCTCCCCGGCCGCCGGCCCCGCCCCGTCGGAGTCCGGCGCCCGCGCCGCCCCGGGAAGCTTGTCCCTCGCCGCCCGCCGTAGCCCGGCGCTCGGCCGGCCGCCGTCCCCAAGATGGCCGCGGCGCGCTCGGCTCCTGAGCGGGGCTAGAGGCGGAGGCGGAGCCGACCGACTCCCGCACCTCGGGGCTCGGGTGCCCCGCGCCAGGCTGCAGCTCGCTGCCCGCCGCGGCCATGCGGGGTCCCGTGCACGGATGAGAGAAGCCGCCGCCGAGCTGGTGCCCCCTCCCGCCTTCGCCGTCACCTCTGCCGCCGCCATGGAGGAGCCGCCGCCGCCGCCGCCGCCGGCGGAACCCGAGCCGGAGCCGGAGCCGGAGCCGGAGCCGGAGCCCGAGCGCTGCCTGGCGGCGAGGTGAGTGTGGCGGCCGCAGCCGACCGCTCGCGGAAAGCGGGCCGGGTCTTGGCCCGGACTCGCGCCGGGGCCCGAGGGGGCGTGGGGGCCTCCGCCGCCCGCCGGGTGGGCAGGGGCGCGTCCAGGCTCTGCGGGCTGGGGCGAGAGGGGCGCGGTGCAGCCCGGACCCGGGCCCCGCGGCTGAGCGAGCCCCCGCCCCCGCCCCGGCTTGCGGTGCCCGCCCGGGCGCGCGGCCGGCTGGCCCTGCGGCTTCGCGGCTCGCCCTGGACGCGGCGGGAGCCGGGCGCCGGCTGCGGAGCCGCCCCCGCCGCGGGCGGCCGCCCCGGGGTTCCTCTCGGCGTCGCCGAAGCGAGGTGGTCCCTTCCCTGCGCCCCCATCGGAGCGCGGGAGGCGCCCGGGAAGCGAGCGCGCAGCGGCCGGCCGTCCTCCGCGGTGCCTCTGCGCCCCCGGGTCGTGCCCGCCGTCCCCCGCGGGAGGAGCCGCGCTGCGACGCCGCAGGCCGGCAGGTGGGCGTCCCCTGCCCGGGGCCTTGAGTGCCCTTGAGCGGTGGCCCGGCGCGGAGTGCGGCTCTCACGTGCGCGCGGAGTGAGGCTCGCCCGGTGCGCTTGGCTGCCCCGAAACGCTGCAAGGTGGAGCTTGGGTCCCGTCAGCCTTGGTTGCGTGCCGTGCCCTGCAGACTCCGCGCGTTGCTCCTACGTCTGTCTTTGCTTCTGAACCGCGAGGGTTCAGCCCCTCCGAGGGAGACTTTGCCCCTCCGGTGCCCTCCTGCTGCCTGTCCTTTGCATCCCGGAGGCAACTTGCAAACTGCTGCCCCCTGGCCCCTGTGATGAAAGTGCTTCGACAGCTCCTCCCGCATCGCGCCTTCCCTCGCTGTGGCTCCAGGAATCAGGCGGCCAATGCCCTCTTTCTTTTTCCTGCCTGAAGGAATTCTTGAGCAACTCTGCAGCCGTAGTTAGGCGCGCGGGTGGCGGTCCCAGCAGGTGTGTGGCAGAGTGACTGTAGGCTGGGAGGACCGTGCTGTCCCCGCACTTTGCATAGCGCCAAGGTGCCTCCCAGGGCCTTCTCCCGCGGGCCGGGGTACAGGGTTCTGAATGCATCGGACTTTTCCAAAGTGTTGTCAGAGAGCTCGTTAGGTGGGTTTGGTATTTGGGTCAGTGTTAGAGCCATTGGCCCCCCTGCGTTTTCTTCATAAACAGTAGCAGCCGAGGCCAGGCTGTTCCAGGTGTGCTTAGCCTTTGCCTCCTTAACTCCTTTCGTCCTGTCTTACCAGGTGGGTCCTGTTGCAGGTGCAGCAGCCAAGACCCAGAAGTGAAGGGACTCGGCCAGTGTCGGTGAGGGAGCGGGGTCTGGCTCAGGGGCGCGCCTTCCCGGCCGGGGTGAGGAGAGGGTGGGTGATGCCCCCGAGCGCGCGGGAAGGCGTCGCTCTGCATGGCTCTGCATGGGGGAGCAGTGGGCTGAGCAGTCTCCGGTGGGCGTGAAGAGAGGGCCGAGCAGTGACGGTGCTGCAGCGGGGATGCTGCTCCAGAGAGAGACCTCGATTTTTTCCAGCCAGGTTTCCGTCTGTCTTTGTTACCACAAAGGTCAGGATAATGGGCTCCATCCAACTGCAAGTGAACAGCAGTGTAGAGAACCAGAAGAGCTGAGGAATAGCATTCTTAGCAGCGTGCAGTCGGTTTCACAGGCGCTGCCTGGCCGGCGCCGCCGTCCTCGTTGTCACCACCCCCTCCTGGCGCGCATGCTGACCTCTGACAGCCTCACCCGCAGATCCCGGGGAGGACGGGGCAGTGGTTCTCCAGCTGTTCATTTGAGATTCTGACCCTTTCAGAGAACTCAGTGTGCTGAAAAAGCCTCCTTGTGAGCACGCTGGAGCCCAGTGACGCGGCAGCTTGTGCCGCCAGGTTAGCTGGTTTTGTTTCCGTGCGTTGTGTGTCGTTGGTTAGGCAGTTGCGGTGATGCGCAGGTCTTGTGCAGGATTCAGGCCGGTTGTTGGCCTCCAGAGCTGTGCTGAGGGCACCAGCCGGCGGCACCTCTGTGCGTGTAGGAGAGTTACAAGTGATGGAAGCACGCAGAGCAGGCTGACAGGTGCCCGTGCCCTGTGTGGTCTCACTGCTCATTGTCGGTGATGGATACTTGGTGTCCTTACTTTTGGTTAAAACACATTTTTTTTGAAAGGTAGCTATTATTATTCATGATTAAACTTTGTAGCGGACACTCCTTAGATCACTTGTTTTTCAGCCTTCTGGGTCTGTTTTAGGATTCTGAGGTTACTGATAGAGCTATTAAAGCCAATCTGGGACAGTTTACTTCTGTGATTTTTTGGATCTGTGCACTAAAAAACCACAGGGTACATTGGATATTAAGTCTGATATGGTGTTCCTGTTTACTATAATCTTTCATTAAAATGTTTGTCAAAAGATAGCCTCACTGCACCCACTCGCATTGTCAGTACATTTTACATGAACTTAACCTTTCAAACCAATGACTGTACGATTTGTATGGTAATCTTGTGAGACTTTCTGAAAAATGGGTTTTGTTCTAAAGAAGGACCGGAGCATCCCCACTTCCAGGTGGTTTGGCCTTTGTCTCAGCGTGAACCCCGCCTTGAGCCTCCTTGTTTCAGCCCTGATTGGGGTGTCTCCTGGTGTCCTCATGTTCTCAGTGCAGCAGGTGCATGGACATGGCTTGAGAGCACTCAGAGTTACCCTCCGGGGGTGTGGCTCCAGGCAGAAGCCTGCAGCAGCTAAGGAGGGTTCTGCTGACGCAGCAGCTTGATGTCCTGAAGTCGGGATGACTGGGTGGCTCCTGGACTGTCGTCCTGTCAGGGGTTGCGCTGCTTCCTTCATGCGTGTTCTGCTGGAGCCAGGCAGGTGCTGTCCGTGTGACACTGAAGTCCAAGGATGTGAGGCCCTGACTACCTACGGCATGCATCTGCCCTGGTAACTTCCTGTTTCGTAATCAGTCCTCATTCCACAGTGGCTGTCTTTCTACTCACGGCATTCTGTTGTCGCAACGCTGGTCTGAGCAGGTGGTGTGAATTCTGTGTTTAAGGGGTCTTTACGACCCCCCTTCATGGTGCCGGTCAGCAAGCTGTTGGAAATAGTTTCTCTAAAGAGAAGATGGAAGGGATGATGGAAAAGGAGATTGGCTGATGGCTCTGCAAAGTCCGACTCTGCTGGCGTTGCCTTGGCAGGAGCAGCGAGTCTGGGTGTCGCGCCTCGTCCGCTCACGCACAGGTACTTAGCTTGGGCTGGGCCTGGTCGGTCTCTGGCTCCTTGGGGCTGTAGAGAGCTGCCGTAACGGAGAGCTGGCTGGGGAGCGGGTTGAATGGTCTCAGCCTGGGCGGGGGCTGGCCCGCTTCCTGTCTGGTGCCTCTCTTCACCCATGGGCTTCCTTCTTTCTCCTAGGCTCCACGTTGGCTGCTTTTCCCGCTCTTGTCACGAGCTCCCCTCAGGTGGCTGGGTGGTAGTGTTTGTTTTTAATCTCCAGTCTTACTTTAATTAGATTATCCACAAACCTTGCTTTTCCTGCTTCAAGTTGGGAGTATGTTGTATCCTTGTCCCTTTCAAACTTTTTGTTTCTTTAAACCTTAATGGTATGGTAGATTTTTACTAACAGTAAGTCTCAGAGGGTCACCTTACTGTCCCCGCCCTCCCCACAGCCCCCACCCCTCACAAAGAATCCTGTAGCAAAGTTTCTGACAAAGGTGTGGCAGCGATGTCCTGGTTGAGCTTTCACAAAGTCCTTTTTTAAGTCCTGCGTTCAGAACAGATCATGACAGTGTGTGGTTCAGCTGGATTTAAGAATTGAGAACTGCGTTAGAGTTCTCTGCTGCTGTCACCAGCTAAGCTTTTGTCGACTATTCAGTGACTTGGGAAAACGCTGAAGATCCAAGTCCTGTTGATGGGGCCTGAGTGTTTGTAGAAAGATGGGCAGGAGCTTCTGACGTGTACACATGTCTTTCCCGGAAAGAGGCAGGTCACCAGACAGGGCTGGTAGAAGATGGGTCCTGGATGTGAATCGGCTGCTCCGCATCTGTCGGTTTCCCACCGGTTCCGTGTGTCCCCCCTGGTTGGAGCGCTGCTCTCTGACCTCTTACTGCCAACCCCAAGTTGAGTTCCTTAGTATGATCCAATTTTTAAAAACTGTGTAGGAAAAAGATTGAAAGAATGCTTAATAAACTCCCCATGTGGGAGACCTGGATGGAATTGTACCTTCTGGCTTTAGCCTTGCCCAGATATGGCCATTGTGGTTATTTGGAGAATGAACTAGTAGATGGAAGATCTCTCTGTTTCTCCTTCTCTGTCACTTTGCCTTTCAAATAAATCAATAAATCACACACATGTGAAAAAATAATGCTTTCTCCGCTTTAAGAGGTATGTTTGAAATGAGTATATTTTATTTGTTGAATTTTTTTCCATTTTTCTTTTAAAATATTTCAAATAACACAGAAATGTATAAAGAAGGATTCAATGAGTACATATAGAGTTAACAAAATGTTTTTAGGGGTTTATTGGAAGGCATAGTTAACACAGAGAGAGGGAGAGACAGAGAAGCGATTGTCCATCTGCTGGTTTACTCCCCAGATGGCCGCAACAGTGTGGGCTGGGCCAGGCCACGCCAGGAACCTGGAACCCCATCAGGACAGCAGAGGCCCAGGTACTTGGGCCTCTTCTGCTGCTTTCCCCGGCGCCTTCGCAGGAAGCTGGATGGGAAGAAGAGCAGCGGGGACTTGAACTGGTGCTCATATCGACTGTCGCTGGCCGTGGTTAACCCACTGTGCTGCAGTGCTGGCAAGGTAACAGATTTTATCATTTTGCCACATTCACTTTATATTGTTAATATTTACACACATGCAGACTTTTTCTTGAAGGAGAGGTGAATATGTTCCTGTCATGTCACATGGGATTCATAACAAGGTCAGTGAGGAAAGCAGTCTGTTAGGTAATCAGTGATGACACTGCTTCTAAAGGTGGACCAAAAAATATGGCACCCACACACTC